TTGACATTTTCAAAAATGCGCACAGGCTATATGCTACGCGCAAAATGTCTGAAAACAAACTTTTTCGTAATACAATTATAAAATCTATGTACATTTTCACTATCAGACGTATTGCTATAATACCGACTGTCTTTTTTTTTTGACACAGCAGAAATGGCCTCCCACTCAGTTGCTACACTTTCGACCGTTACTACACACCTAGTCGGGTTCAGAATCATACAATCTAACGATTTTATAGGGTTTTTGCCGTATTGCTATGACACATGGTTTTGGTCGTGGGCTCTCGTACTACTACTTCTTTATGTATTTCTACACTCTCTTGAGGCGTTTACTATAGCTTTTTTGGAGCAGTTCCGAGGCCAGCTCATTGGGGTGCAGGGCCAGCCGTTCTTGGTAGTTTTCTGCAGTGGATCGTATTTCCTCCAACACTGTGTTCATCAGCAGGGCCTCGTGGATTTCGGTGTTTTTAACTAACCATGGGGCACATGATATGGTACGCAGAATTATATTCTGAAGCCTCTGTATCATGGAGAGGTTTGAGTTGCATGCACTACCCCACAGCTGTATAAAGTTAGAAATGAACAAAATACTTGAAAATACTGAAAGACTCAAGATTACATAATAAAAGGTTATAGTTTGTGTACGTGTTTCTGAACGCAAAACGAACTGTCTCAACAATGACATTTGCTGTCATCTTGAAATATTATAACCAAAATAACCTCAAAAATTTGGTCTAAAAATTTCAACTTTTTGATGTGAAAATTAAAACAAACCGTAAAAATGAGTGGACGAATTTTATTTCGTTCATTTTACTACAAAATTATTCAACGACCATCCTACAAAAGCAATATACAGCCGTGCAATAGGTTATTTATCAGTGTTTTCTGTAACGAATTCTCAACCAAAGCTGCGAGTCAGATTGAGGAGAAGAAACACTGTAATATTGGTACTATAGGGCACGTAGACCATGGGAAGACCACCTTGACTGCTGCCATTACGAAGGTATTGGCTAACGACGGTTTAGCACATTTTGTTTCGTACGATGAGATTGATAGGGCACCTGAAGAAAAGGCAAGAGGTTTGTTGGTATTTCTTTGTTTTTAGAATTAAATCAATATTACGTGAGCGATCTAGTACAGTCTAAAACATTAATAATGTGTTTATAGTTAGTTTGAGCTTAGTTTCATTTCATTCAAGTTTTATATTTACTTGCTAACTAGGTCTTTATTTTAAAACCATTAATGAATTATAAGAGCCATACAAGACATTTTGTTGAATATTAGATTACTTCACATCACACAGACCATTTCAAGTGCAAAACCATGTTTGTTGCCTGCCAAGTAATATTTGCACACCTAAATAAACTAAAAAACATAATTTATATTCCAGGTATAACAATAAACGCAGCTCACATAGGCTATAACACAAAACTCAGGCATTACGCTCACACCGACTGCCCCGGACACGCTGATTATGTACGGAACATGATATCAGGAGCGTCTCAGATGGACGCTGCAATTTTAGTGGTCGCTGCAAACGATGGACCGATGCCTCAGACTAGAGAGCACTTGTTGCTAGCCAAACAAGTGGGGATACAGCACATATTGGTGTTTATAAATAAAGCTGATATTGTTGATAATGAGGTATGTTTCATTTATGCATGTTCTTTAATGATATAAAATACAATCTGGCATTGAAATGTCTTAAAATTTTTTTTCTATAAATCTGTTTACTTGTTACATTCAGAGGCCAGGCCCCCCTGAAAAATAAGCCTAGACATGCCAATGCAATTACATGCCTTTTACATAACACTACTAACTTTTACATAAGGTCTTGCTAACATGGGTTTGGGCCAAATCCGCCCTTTTGCCTCTGGTAATGATGATGATCTTGAGTTAATAATAATTGTATTTAACTATTGCCTTATGTTTTTCTTATTTTACAGCTTTTAGAGTTAGTAGAAATTGAAATGAGAGAGCTGATGACTGACTTTGGATATGATGGCAACACCGTGCCAATGATTTGTGGCTCTGCACTGAAGGCTTTGAACGGAGACGAATCTGAGTTTGGTTGGTAAATATTGTTTACATTCTATACTATTTGCTAGGGTCAGAATATATTTTCTGTAAACAGAAGTACTTTTAGTAAAAAAAATAATGTACTCTTCTCAGCACTGGCCCACATTATTGTCCTAAACCCTAAAGCAATGAATGGTAGGTTTTAAATAAGATTTCTAAAAGCCTGAATGAAAAAAAATTCTTTCATTCATTTCAGCCATATGACCATCACATGGTCCACTACTGAACAATGGTCTCCTCCAAGAATTTCCACAATGACCGATCCTGCATTGCCCAAATGCAGGTACTTACCGTGACCTTATGATCGTCGGTTCACCTAGTGGGACTACATCCTGCCACTACGTCCACTAGCCCGCGATCGCCACTCGAGAACTTTTCTGCCACATTCTGACAAATATTTAAAAAAAAATTATTACTTTTCATCATTTCAGCCAATGGACGTCCACTGCTGAACATAGGCCTCCCCTAATGCTTTCCACGTTGATTGATTGGTAGCGGCCTGCATCCAGTGCTTTCCTGCTACCTTTATGATGCAAGATGCCTTTATTACTTTTAGCAATAAAATAAAATCTCCAATTCCAGGTGCACCCTCAATACGAATGCTTCTAGACACAATGGACTCCTACGTGCCACCCATAGTGCGAGACCTCACCTCTCCGTTCCTCATGCCCATAGACAACGCTTTCACAGTGCCCGGACGAGGTACGGTGGTCGTTGGTACCATAAAGAGAGGGGTTATGAAGCGGAATGATGATGCGGATCTGATGGGCTTTGGTTACAATATCAAGACTACGCTGTCTGATATACAGATATTTAAGAAGAGTGTTACAGAGGTAAATAAAAATGAATATTTTTTTTCAACTATCTGGCCCCTATCTATGCAGAGGGTTTAGTGTGAGTTTATATCAAACGTCGTCACTAGTGAGCGCGTAGAAAATGACATTAAATATAGATTGCACAGCTCATAAGCTTTAGCTAAACCAATGCGTGCAGATCGCGTCGGCGATGGGATGATAGGACGCGCGACCTGTTGACCCGCGTGACCTTTACAGTTCACAGCATAATTAAAGACACTAATTTTGGTGGACTGTGATGAAAAATTGACAAATATATTTGGACATTATTTCACTTTGCGCCATTTAATCTCTAGACTCCCAAAATAAGCTATGGTTGCATTGTGTGTGGGTAACAGTAACAGTCAATGGATATTATACTAAACTATTTTTAAATACACATATTATAGGACATAGAATCTAATCCGTCTGCCAAGCGTGGAGATTATGGAAAAATAAAGTGGAGGAGGCTCATATTCCAGCAGTTGGCTGTAAAGGGCTGTTGAAGATGATGATGACATCATAGAAAACACTCGAACCAAACCTATAGACTATAATACCATATTTTTGTGCCGAGACCAAACCCGAGACCTCTCGACAGCGGAAACCGTATATTCTTTGATGTTTACCATTATCTAATTTTTGTTATTTTCAGGCACTAGCCGGCGACAACGTAGGCGTACTCCTAAGAGGCATGAAGATGAAGTCAGTCGAGACTGGCATGCTGCTCTGCGCTGCAAAGAGCTTCCAATTGAGCAACCATTACAAAGCGAAAATTTATTTCTTGACGCGCAACGAGGGTGGCAGGAAGAAGCCGGTGTTTTCGAAATATTCACAGCAGATGTTCAGCGGGACTTGGAATATTGCTGCGAGAATTGATTTGGGTGAGAATTTTAGTTTGTTAAACGAGTAAAGGACGAAGCTCACTTACCAACCCGGAAACGGATCGTTCGTAACCGAGGCAGTCAATATTTTGACTGAAACTCCGTATTGCAACGCACACTTATTCGCACAGTAGGTTCAAAAGCACTTTAATGAAAAAGGGCTACTATAAAGTTGATGATTATACAGTGTGAGTCACGTTAAAGTGTACATATGAAAATAGATGAAACTAGACCTATTTTTATCGACAAAAAAGAGGACAAAATTTTTTTGAGATTTTTTTTTATTTTTTTATAGAATTTTTTTTCTTCAAATTACTTATTGTAAAGAAAACGTAATAACTTTTAAACTAAGCGGTATATCCTGAAAAAATAAAAACAGTAATAATGCTAAATAACAGGCGATACTAAAAAAATACATGAAATACACAAAAAATGCCAACAAATAATAAAAAATGATACTTTTTGAAAAAAATCTGCTTAAAAATTCGTGTTTTTTTGGTTATTTTATAAATTTCTCCAAAAAATGCCCCTATAACCGGTAGTTTTTATTACTTTGTATTATTTTCTATCGTTTTATCTTATTAAAACCAAAAATCGCATGTCTCTATCCCTATCACAACATTTGCTATGATCGTTTGAACAAAGGCCTGCCACAACATTATTCTCCGCTACAGGTAGAGACAATTTTAATTTTAACTTAAATGCTTATTTTACTTCGAAATCTTTTGTTTTTATTTGAAATCTAACTTGTCTTTATCAAAATTACAAATCTAGAGCCATTTTCAGTTTTGTTGTTAACGAAGCGTTGAATGGCGCGCCCGGAGAGGCTTAGTTCAAACGATCATTGCAAATGTTGTGATAGGGATAGAGACATGCGATTTTTGGTTTTACAAAGATAATACGATAGAAAATAATACAAAGTAATAAAAACCACCGGTTATAGGGGCATTTTTTTGAGAAATTTATAAAATAACCAAAAAAACACGAATTTTTAAGCAGATNTATAAAGGATAAAAATGTTTGGAATGTTTAACTACCTAGCTCGCATTAATACTTATGACTATAATTTGTATATTTTAAAGACTGTAAAACCTTGAAAAGGAGGCTGACAATAGTGACTGAGTTTCTTGCGCTGCTTCTTCTCAGCACTGGCCCATTTATTGTCCCGAAGCAGTGGTAAGGTTAATATTGGGACGTGTAAAAGCGCTTTTTAAAGCCTATTTGCAAAAATAAATGAATTTTATGAATTTTAATTTATTTATAATTTTAGTAACGTAAACGCCTCGCCTCGCGGTGAAAGGTGTTGTACTTGATCCCTTTCCGGGTTGATAAGTGTGCTATGACCTTAATAATATTCGGCTTGCAGTTCGTACTAGAATTAGGTGTTCTGTGCCAATGATTATTTTGTCTATCAGTCTTTATTAACGGAAAGGAACAATCTGTTTTAATTTTTAAATTAATTTAAGGAAAAAACCAAGGCTAAAATTGATTGATTTAGGCCCGATTCGACCAAACTTTTATCCTGAGATTAATATTTACTCTTGTTTGGTCCAATCCACCCTAAGCGGTAAGGGCGAAAATGTTTTTAAAGTATTTAAACAAATGATAATGTTCAGCTATCTTAGTGATTTAATGGAGAAAATTGATGTTAAAACAAAGATAAATGCGTGCAGACTTACCTTGTCTTTTGGAGATATCGCCTCAGCTTGTAAATTCGACCAGCTGCCCAACACTGGGCCCAGATATGCGTCTACTCTTCCCGCCAACAACTTTACCACCTTTCACTTGTGCAATGTCTAATTAAAGAAAAACAAACTACTTAAACACTACTCTGAAGCTTATACGATATTATCGCGACGAATTTAACCGCGGTTCCGCGATTTGAAACGCGCACGACACAACTACCGCCGAGTTCCACTTTCAAACTGACAGTGTTGCCACTTTCGACATTAATGTTGCTATCCGAAAATAATAATTAAGTTTTCAGTACAAGTTCCGAATAGTGAACAAATAGTCCAAAAGAATCGTGAAAAATATTTTTTATAAATACGAAAATATTTTAAGAATTTAGAATTAATTAATTTAATTTCACATGAGTGTGACTATAAAAAATATGAAGGGTATCAAGAAAAGTATTGTTATTGACATTATTTTTAGAAACTTTTTGTGATAGTAAGGCTATGCGCGCACGGTGACTTTGTCACTGTGTGAGTATAAAATATCTTTCTCCCTTACCTTTATAAAGAGAAAAAGAGATAAAACGTAGTACTTAAATCTTATCTATGGAGAGACATACTGTCACGGTGACAAGTCACCCGTGCGCACGCCTTTATACTTTTCGTGACTAACTTCTATATTTTCTCAAAACCAAGCCGTTGCCATAATAAAAGAAGAAGAAGAAGTAACTTCTTAATTTTTATTTACTTTCCAGATCCATCAATGCACATGATGATGCCTGGTGACCATGGGGAGGTCTACATAACCTTACTAGAAGGCATGGTGATGACGCAAGGCCAGCCGTTCACAATTAGAGAGAACAATGTCACAGTGGCCACTGGAATCATAACCGAGACTCTGAAGTCTATAGACGTTCCTAAAGGAAAACTAGGAAAAGTTGTGATGAATTATGAATAGGGATGTAAATAGTATTGTAATTTGTAGATATTGTTAATAAATTATTTGATTAATACTTCTTGGTTATAAATTATTTCATTAATACAACCCGGTCGAGTTAATTGTTATTAAAATATTCGGGTCCAACGTTTAATCCGTTCTGCTCTATGGGTGTGAAACGTGGAAGGTCACCAAGGTTATCTCGCACCAGCTGCAGGTCTTCATCAATCGCTGCCTTCGCCGAATTCTCGGCATATACTGGCCCGAGAAAATCTCCAACGTCGAGCTATTGGAACGCTGCCACGAAATTGCGATCGACCAGCAGATCAAGCGCCGCAAGTGGAACTGGATTGGCCACACTCTCCGAAGGGACCCCGATCACATCCCTAAGCAGGCTCTGGATTGGAATCCCCAAGGAAAACGCAAACGTGGTCGACCCAGGCAAACTTGGCGGCGCACTGTAGCGGACGAGGCGAAGAAGATCGGCAAGACCTGGAGCGAGATCAAGCGAGAAGCTCAAGACCGAACGAGATGGAGGACTGTTGTGGACGCCCTCTGCCCCATCTAGGGGACATAGGACCATAAGTCAAGAGTTAATTGCGCACCCGGCAGCCGTGACGTCACATCGACGCCCGATCTGTGAGGGAGTTGCATTCCAGCGAGGTGCGCAGTTAGCTTGATTGGTTGTACACACGACAGCACATCAGGCTACCCATTTTTGTCAAATGTCTTTTGTCATTTTCAAACTTGCCCTTATTACAACTCACAGTGGTTACGTTGACGTGCCGTCGTCTGTACTATCGGCAACAGTGTTTAACTACCCATTGCCGGTCATGTCGTCTCGTTCTATCGCAAAGAATCACCATTTGATGAGAGCGAGAGCAAAAACGGAAATGAATAGTTAACACTGTGGCCGATAGAACCTTCAGATTGCTGCTGTGTTGTAAGCTGTAAAAGTTTGGTTTAGGATATATCCATCTCGCTTGCCCAAGGAGTGAAAGAGATGAAGTAAGACGTCGGTTTACCGTGTTTTGGCGCCAATAATGCAGTAGCTTAAACATATTATCCCAACTAATATTATAAATGCGAAAGTAACTCTGTCTGTCTGTCTGTCTGTTACGCTTTCCCGCTTAAACCTCGCAACCGATTTTGATGAAATTTGGCATAGAGATAGTTTGAGTCCCGGGAAAGAACATAGGATAGTTTTTATCCCGGTTTTTGAAACAGGGACGCGCGCGATAAAGTTTTTCTGTGACAGACAAAATTCCACGCGGGCGAAGCCGCGGGCGGAAAGCTTTTTCTATACATTTGGAATTTACAGTCGACATCAAAATATTTTTACAGTGAAGTGCTCGGAGAATTTTGTAGTTTATTGACACAGTAAATATACTTGATACAATTTAAAAAGAACATTTTGTAAAGAGTGAATGTGTTAAGATATTTTTGATATCGACTGTACAAAATGTCAGGGTTCAAAAATAAAACTGCAAGAACTTTTATTCATTATATATTTTTTGTCAGAAGGTAATTAATACAGTGCCAAAACAGTAACAAAACATTAGTAAGAAAAAATCAAGACTGCATCTAGCATTAACTACTGAATATCCAGATAAACAATAACCCTAAGGCCCAGAACAGACGGTGAAACGCAACTGTAACGAAACTGCAACTGCTAGTTACTTTTGAGTTGCATCTAAGTTTCTGCCATAGCGTCCGTTGAGAGACCACACATGACGCGACCAGTTTAAAAGTTTCAGTTTTATTCATTAGAATCATCACAAAGTTGCAGTTTCGTTGCAGTTGCGTTTCACCGTCTGTTCTGGGCCTAACGGATTGATAGTAGGACAACATTTAACATTTATATTTCACAACATTTTGAACAGACGGCGTACACTATGTTTTATATAAATTGTGAACTAGATTCATAACACCGATACTCCTAAATGGATATTTTATTTCTCTACGATATTCAGGTTGGATAGTTGTGTGCTGTGTACAGACAACGGCATGTCAATTTACCACAAAATGTTACGTTTCTCAATTGATTTTGAACCATTTTGGTGTTTAACTTTAAAGTCCAAAATACATTAGAAAAAAATGTATTTTTGTGGTATATTGATGTGCTGCTGACTGCTCCATTATTTCTCTATATCAGGTAACATATTGACAGTACGGAATATGACCAGATGTTGAATTGAAAGTAACGTTCACTGGCCATAGTTGTAAGTAATAAATAATATTTTATCTACAGGTACTTCATGCATTATTCGCGGATTGTGAAAAAAGAGCGTCATAATTTGAAATATATTAACCATAATAAATATTAAATAAGTAGGTATTTGGAATATAAATATTATGTAATATTATATTGCACAAAATATCTATAAACTATCATCAAATTCCGGTCATATTTCGCCACTTCAAAACGGTAAAGCATTCAATAAGGCATTTCGCACAGTAACGACGCAATGTCAAACTCGTATCAGATAGGAACTTTTCTAAAAAATCGTTGCCACGAATATGTGCAAGTTTGTACGTAAGTGTACAATGGCGTAAGTACACATACGGCGTTTTACCTCGGAGAATAATGACACGTCGCAACTGTGGGCAGCCTCGGTTCGCACACAACTACCCGCACTATAATACTGCAAGGAGCAGAACGCACCACGACGGTGACCACGTGATTCCCATCCAAAGTAATATACCTGCTCTAAAATCAGTCTGTCACGATAACGTCACCGCGCAGTGTATTATCTAATAAACATTAATCACAAAGATACTTGTATACATGGATCTAACATGAAGAGACAGAAGACATGTCAAAATATTAATTTTATCATATATTTTTTTACTTTTCCCATCTATGTAAAATGCCGTAGGTACCAATCAGCAAGTGAAATGAGCTACACTTATAAAATACGTTATTCCTTGGTCCAATGCAAGAACTAACTTGGCATCTTATGAAATACTATTTAGCTTCGTTTAACAAACTTTTTTTGGATTTTTAGAGTAGTACCCGCTTTTCGATATTGCACATCTCTGATTTCCGCTCTACTAATTCAATATTCGTTTAAAACTTCAAATTGAACGAATTAACCAGCCCGTAACAATTCACTTGAGTTTATAAAAGTATCAATAGTTTTGTATTGATTTTAGCAGAGCAGAAAATTTATAACTGGGGCGAATAACATTAACTTTTACAGTTAAATTTACAGGTACCCTTCTGTTATGTATGTAGTGATTAAAGTGAGCAAATATTATAGAGTGAAGATTATTCTTGTGTAAATATCGAAATTATTTTGTAGTTTAAAGGTAAATGCGACCGTTGTAATCATGATTTTTAAAGTAAAAAAATATGAAGAAGTAACGTATAAAAGAGTAACATAACGGAAGGGTGCTAAAATTTCCTCAAATCTGTTTGAATATAAACTCGAATAATCCTTAGGAAACACGGGAAAACCCAGCATTGGTAAAAAACTTTACAAGATTAGAAAATTGAGACGTGCACTATCAAAAAATATACATAATTAGCACACCATGATATAATATTTTCGCAATACCAATACCATGGAATTAAGTTTTAATAAGCTCATAAAATTCGATATTCACCACAGACAGTATATTTTGTATTATTTTTTTAAGTATCTTAAAACATCTAAGTATTTTTTTAATCGGACAGATCCAAAGTTATACACGGAGTAGGACTAGCAAATTTTCATTTCGATCTATTTAATATTAACACAATGTTGCGCCTACAAAGCTTTGCTAAAACAACAAAATAATCATAACAAGAAACAATGATAAAAAAACAGAATGCAGCTTTAAAAGTACGTAATTAATGGGCATTTTACAGTGGCAGTGTCGCTGTAGGTTAGACATGAAAATGCTAGGTATAAAAAATAGAAAGAAGCATCTCTTGCATTGCGATAAGTATCATTTTTGTTTACATTACACATTGCTAATCAATTATACCTCATAATACCTATGTCGATTATTGGCGGGCCGAATACTGGTACCATTTATTATGGCAAAAGTGCAACAATCTAATCAATTGAATTACATACATTTGTATTAAAACAACGAGTCACAGAAACACTCGGACTAAATGTAGTGAGATTTAATTTAATATTTGACTTTAAATAAGAAAACAATCCTGTTACATATCCCATTACATTTTCCGATAAAAAATACATATTATTTTAACTGGATTAACACTGTCACTTAAATGTCACTTACAACTTAAATGATAAACATACAAAATACATTATTGGTGTCGACGTACAGTGTAGTTTAGCACCACAATTAAAACTAACTATTCGACATTACGTATGCCCTAACAAATCCTTCGAATGGCGATCAATTCCCAAACAAGTTGAACAGGAAAATGAAAATTAAAGAGAATATCCCCACAATCGGTGAGCCCGAGTTTTAATACTTGTGCACTAGCTTACACAGTACATAATGTAAAAATTAATTTACCAACACTTACAACTATAAAAATATTTTAGAAATTCTCACTTACATTTAAGAGGAACTGGCAAAATAAATCCTGTATTCCCATTTTTTATCGACTCACAATAAAATACAAAAACCAGATTTGGTCCTCACGTATCAAATTCATGATGCCATTCCTATATACTGGACAGAGCTAATAACTGCGAACGGGCGAGTAGCAAAAATATTAGTAGACTTTGCACACTAAATAATGGCTCAAAATATATCAAATCCGCTAAATACCCAATAGAAAAAAACCTGCCTAATGTTACGGCAAAACCTCGTAGAAGCAATGTTAAACTTAATAACCTAATATAGTTAGATTATAAACTGTGGTGGTAGTACCATAGCACAGGGCTGGCTCGTGGCGTATCACAATAGATTACACATACCGGACTTACCACCCTTATTGTCCACACTCATTCCACTATAAATACTAACATTTGCAACTAATATAAAACATCCCACAACTCCGTACGACACCTCATATCAAAACAGTGATTAAAATACGTTATACAGCGGAGTATTTGTGCATACGATGCGAATCTACAAGTCTGCTCCAACTTTATGAGCCACATCGATAAACCTAACCATCACCGTATCCCTATTTGAAAAACTGACGCATATTATGCTAAATAGTCACATATTGTTCTAACGAGGATCCAATAAACCATGCACGGTTAAAACATGTAACTATTAGATTCGTACCTACTAAAAGCATTAGGACCGTATCTATCTAACCTAACTTCACCTAGTGGCAAAGGCTCACGTCGATATCAAACTACACAACTAGCATCATTTAAAATAGATAAAAAACCAACTACGATACACAATCTTGCAGGAATAACTATCTAAACAGTGAGTTATGAATATCTACCACGTTTCAACTTCATTTTTTTATAAATATTCATCCGTAAATTATTATCAAATTCGATAAAGCTCTAAGATTGATCCACATTCAACAAATTAACTCTTAGAATATTCCACGAGATGCAACGTGCCATCGACGTATCAGAAACATAATGGTAAATAAATAAATTAAACCCCACTTCTACACAACATCACTTTTCTCGTCAATGACTTTAAATAATGAGAATATTTTTCCAGTCTTCCTAGTGGTCACGACCACGCCTAACAATTCCTAAAAAAAACTAGCTGAATACACTAGCACAGTGTGTCTATATTTTGTACATTCAGGATTTAAGGAGCAAAAACATTGATAAATATCGGATTTAGACACTAATGCTGTATATTTAGGCCCTTAACGAGGGTTAAAATAACATAGGGCCCACTGGCTCCACATATGAAAATATTGTTAAATGTGTATTATTCACTACCATCTCAAATATCTAGAACATCGACTAATCAATAAACAAAACATAATAATTAACAATCGCTATATGATATTAATCATGCACATTTTCTAACTACATACTCTAGCGTTCATAACGTTTCTTAGGTTAAATTATGTTGATGCAATGATTCTTTAGGGCGTGTTTTGTAACGACACTCTAGTATGATTCCACACTCAGGAATAGGATTGGTCTAAAATATTGCAATTTAACCAATCACAGACTTTATGAATGGAACTTTGAGTGTCGTTACAGAATTTGAGCCTAAGCCGATTAGACTTTACGCTACCCAGACTTTGGCACGAAACTTTCAGTATTTGAGTGTAGGTAAAAAATTATATTCTGTAGATACCTCAATGCAAGTCTGAATAGCGAAGTCATAGTTCGCTTTCCAAATCTATTTTAGTATCGTGGCTTTTTATTTTATTTTTATACAACTCTTTTTAATTCTCTAGCACCGTGACTTTTATTTCAACCGACAATGGGTTTGGAGAGCGAACTGGATGGCTTATAGAAGTCAAAAGGACGTATTTACTGTTTAACTATAGGAAATTTTAGAATCATTCACTTACACTTAAAAGTATACCCCATCGTAAGCGTTTACTATATTGGCTTTAAATTAAGTACTGGATAGTTTTGGTATTATAGTTTTTTTCATATTAAGGACTAAAGGACATTTCATTAATTATAATTAGGTTATATCACACAGTATTCTTATAAAGATATGCTGTTATAAGCGTTGGTCACGTAGAAAGTCAGAAATAATAATCATATTTGCATATGTATTTTTTTCTTAGAAGAAAACTAAAGTAAACTTAAATATTTAATATAGCATATTGATTTAATTATAGGGTTTTAAGAGCCTGTATCGCGTACATTAAAGTAAGATTGATAGCAGTACAGGTTATGGAAAGTTTGGAATAAACAAATGCGAAAATGGGAAGCTTATACTATGTGAAAAATTCCAATTTCTGGACGGAAGGTACGATATTTGAGCCAACTCAAAGGGCGCTTGTCAGCCAACTTTTGAGGCTGGATCGCTGCTTCTTGCTAACTCTACTTTACCCCCGTAATTCACAGCCATCAAACATTAAAGCTGATATACTCACGTATATCCTTGTTTGTCGTAGGCCATACAAAAATTTAACGGTTCTAAATAAATTATAAAACAGTACTTATTTGTTATAACTATTGTATTTTATTATGGTCGCTCATTACTTGGTAATTTTATTTTTTTAGTAAAAATATATCCTATTTGTCTGTTAACACTCCAACGTATAGAGTCGTAAGTTCACTTACTGCTCTTTACGATTTAGGCGATATAAATTTATAAGGCAGTTTTACATTTTGCCTTTTATACATTTTTCGTTTATAAGTCAGAAGCAACGACCCATCCTATCGGATCTAATTTAAAAGAAGCTAGTTGTGGCAATACCGAATACATTCGCTATTCTTATTAATAGCATACCCTAATTTTGAGGTTATCTAAAAGCAAGCACATTTAATTCATAGCCATTGCATTTGATTTCTATAATGGTCTATACTCCGTATATAATAAAATAAGTAAATAAATTCATCTGTCAATTCAAAACTAATAAAATAAAATAACAATTAACATAAGCCGCCAACTAATTCTGAAATGCGATATACTTAATTAATTTAAAGTTCTGTTCACACCTACTGACATGTAGCCATGTTTTCACAATATTTTTTTTACTGACAAAATAGTACAGCTTTGCTTATGAGAAGGACAGATAATATTGTTTGCACTACATCTAAAATACCCAGAATACTGTTACTGCAAAAATTTAACCATAATATCAATTTAGCACTGTAGGCATCTGGATTTACTTCTAAACGTATAAATACAATCAGTATTTTGTTAGTAGATGTGAAAGGACTTATTTTGAAATAAATGTTGATTGCAATTGAACTACAAAAATACTTATTTTGACGGACTACGTTCGTTGTGTGATATCTAAAAATTTTAACAGCCTATTTATACTAGTACATTGCAAAATGCTTTAAAATAACCGTTCAGTTTGGCGAATGAAATCTGAGCCACTGATATTGAGTTATTAGTCAATTTTATTACTATTGTCATATTTAATGCTTCACTTGCCAGACTTTTAAGGTATTTATATTGCACATGCATATTAAAATTTACACTATAACTATCTATTTGACCACATCGCATTTCAAAATAGCATTATAAATATTTAGTTTAAACATTTCATATAATCTATCAACAGATCCGTTTTAACGCGTTCGGGTCCGTATTAAAATTTGTTAACTTCCAAAACGGTTGGTAGATTGATCTAAATACATTTGCGCGAAAATAATATAATAAATTTCAAGCAAGTCAGAAAATTGAGGTAAACAGTTACTTAATTGTATGGCAACTTTAGAAATAGGGAAGGTTTAACAAGAGTTAATTAATACTGGAAAGAGGAACTCCGGTGTTTTAATAGATACAGTACGACACAGGATAAAATGGCTTCCGGATATCCGGAAGATCGGATCACGCCGGATCCGTGCACGTGCACTTATTATTGCATCTTATGTCGTTATAATACATATTAAAACTAGCTAAGATGCCTGAGGAATCCGATATTTTATATTATGTCGTACTGTAACACAGATATGTGTTCATGTATCCCGTTTTAGTAATTTTGATTTTAGTTTGACCAACACCCGGATTAAAAATATTTAAGTTTAAATTTAAGGAAACTATTAGAAAATGGACAGATTTAAGTGTCAAATTACCCTATAACCTCAAGATAATTAAATTTAGGAGTCCGCATTTATTCCAGCAAAATTGTTATATTTCCGCAGTAAATGGAAACATCTAAACATAGTCTGTTTCAATTCGAATTTAGTAAAAACTTTTTAAAATACCTTATATTGCACAAGCTATTGCAATGGCTGACTTAGGTGATAAAAACGTTTTGAAAAATACCGCAATAACTAGCGATGTTTAAAATCCTCCGTCAGCTGTTAAAAATGTACCTATAAAAGTTGTTTTTAATAAATCGATTCGGAACAGACCAAAACTTAATATTTGCTTATCAACATCAAAATTTCTGTACCCATCGTTATACCGAGCAACAGGTTTCAAAAATAATATAATAATTATTATCTAACTACTAAAATTTGCTAAGAAACTAAACTTCATTATTGTGCTACAAATACATTTGTAAGAACAAGACGAATAACTTTGACTACACTCTAAATTCGTATTATAAGTGCAAATCGATTGTACTAATAACCATTGAATAACAAAATGGAAGCATTCATGTTGGGGCGGTTGTCAGATCTAATAACATTTTAAACTTTATTACGTTTGAGATGAAGTCTATTTTTGTAAACTGGCCATAAGTGTAAACATTTGACATAAAACTTAAAGAACTTTCTCTTTCTAATCTTAAGTGTAAAAGAGAAGAAATCAGTTATTAATGAATGAGTCATCGATATGTCAGATAAGTTTACAAAATGTTTACATTTATGGCCAGTTCTATAGACTTGATAATTATTATGTAAAATTTAGAGTAATCAACGTCACCAACCCCATCGATACAATACTGCAATCTTTCCAATCATTTCATTAAAAAAATGTAAAAATATTTCACAGGAAAATGCATCACAAGTGATAAGGTAAAAATCATAATATCGGCAAACTAAAATCTACAAAATAAATCAACTTCTTTTTAACAACAACTCTTTAAATTTTGTACGCGTTGTACGGAGTCATATAAAATGCATGCACATCTTTATAGAAAAGGCACTACATCAAATACTAAAAATATTTCATTTCATTTTAGTCATTAGACATTTGTCATTAAGTGAACGTTGTAAATATAAGTATATTCATAATATACACAGAACCGTGTTAATAAAATTAATCACAAAAAAAATTAAACATTTTTCCCTTAACCTAACTGAACTTAAGATGGAAGATACTGTTAACACTACGTATGTTTTGGTTTTGTGTTGCCAAAGGCAAAAACTGAATTTGTGCACCGTATGGAGGATATAAGACCTTTTATAAACAATTAAAGCGTTATTAAAAGCTTAATATTACTATAAGCTGTATAAGGATACAATGAACTTTGGGGTCACTGTTGAAACACCATGCTACGTGTACTAACAATAGCAATATGAGCACTTCCAATATACGAGAAAATGTGACTAAAAAAAATAAACTAATCTATTTGTTGTGAGGAACTGACATGCACTTTAAATTTCCTACATTTGGCCATAAATTTTACTAAATAACACCAGTGCGCCTTAGAAACCATACACCGCAGGGTTACGGTAATACGGTTCAAATCGCTACAGTAACGTTAAAATTAAGAATTGACGAAAACTAGCCGAACCATCTAACGAAGCGATTCACACTATATACCATTCGTTATTATCAATTCCGTAAATCAATCTCCCACTAACCTTCGCTTATCGCACTAACTATAACTATACAAATTCATTGAAACAATATTCACGTTGAATAAATAAAAAAATGGTACACTTATACGCTAGTAGTTCATAACTTCATTTTATATATTTGTTATTATTTGCACGAAACGTGATATATTAAAATAGTGTCAACTAGTCGTAGAAACATCACATTTTATAGAGGTTGGTGTGAGCGAAATACATAATAAAGTAATATTTTGGTTATGATCAGTCGATTTTATTATCACTTATTTCAGATATCAACCAAGTACGAGCATCGATCTCTTCCAAAGTAAATTATGGGCATCATCAGTTTTGTAATGTTTATAAAAGAATTCTAAATTGTCTCTTTACTGTAATTTATCTATATTTAAAGATTATTTGTATTTTTACTACTTAAGCTCTGAGTGGGACAATGTCTAGATAAATTCTTGATTACTTTAAATCTGCCTGTATGTCTATGAAAGCAGAACTAACCGATAACTATGATTTATTTTGTAACTACAAATCTGAAGCTAACCCTGAATCTCTTTAGAAGAATTTACGTGTACTTTCCTGGTCGTATCCCAGTAAGTGTTTTGCTATTGGATTGCAATGACTAGACGCTGTATTTATACTTGAACAGGCACGCGTAGTAAAAAGCCTAACACAGGCCACACAGTCTTTCAAACTAACATTCTAGCAGTTTACTACCGACGAATATCACACCTCACGCGAAATACAACTTTAAATATACATCCAGTGCCACCAATATTCCATTTACTATAATTCGAGACGTGGTTCATGACGACAAACGATTTAACAACGGGTTTTAAGTGCTACCTCACTTCAGCCATGAGTGTAAACAAACAACAATAGCGAGAACTTTAGGTTCCAAGCATGGAAAATTTTAAACATTACCACAGATGGAAGCATTTTGATTTTGGATAATAAATAATTTTGAATTTGAATTCGAATTTGAAAATTTGAATTTGGAGTTTTAAGTGTTTGCTTGCACTTAGGCTACAGTGAACATTATAAAATGTAAACATTAAATTTTGACTATGACAAACAAAGCATCGTGTGTCAACATGAACAATCTTAATCTTACTAAAGGGACGAAATATGCCTACTATTTCGCTCACACCATACGAACCAATTTGGCAAGTACTAGACGTAAACTAGCCATCTGATCTCCAACATCCGTGAAGATAGGTAATACTTTATAACATACAACCCAGCAAGCACGATTAATAAATTACGCAGGGCATGTACTAACCTAGAACATCTATTCAGATTAACGTTATATACTTTTTTATATATTAATAATGTGGTCCTGTTTGTCCTCTGTTTACCTGTAAGTCTTTTTACGCATACACTTTTTATAATCAGATGAGTTATTTAAATGCAAAGTTGTTATATTTTAAAAAGTGTAGTACGTAAATTTATTAAATTTTTTTTTGATGATATGATATTTTATAAAGGATTGCAACGACCCCATTTTATTATCTACCATAGGTCTCTGTGTTGGCAACGTAGAGTGCAGAAGTGTAAAGTCTAGCCATTTAGAGAAGGTCAAAAATGTTTACAGTTATGGCTGACTTTATAAGCGACAATTCGACTTCATCCTTATTTTGTCCAAAGAAGATGAAAATGACAAGACTTTGAACAGAGACATAGAATTAAAATGTCAACAATTTGTTTACATTTTTGGCCTAATCTATGCGGACTTGTGTATTTACAATACAACTTCTGTCCTTCAACAATCGATAGACATATAATTATCTAAACCAGACAACAAGTATAGCACAGGAATGACCATCTGGTGATATGCATTCATATCATCATACAGAATAGTTTAACATTGATATGAATTTGCACATTTTATGAAACATTTAAATACTTTTTAAAATACATTCCCAACCCCTAACGTTGCTATGGAAATCGAACAGTTAAAGCCACCAAACTATAGTTATAAAATTTAGTTAACTAGTTATAATATGGTATATTCGTACTACACAGGATTACGACTGAAATGCAGAAGGCTAAATGACGTCTCAAAATTCGTACAGCCGTTTTGCTGTTCCAATCTGAACATTATTAAAACGACATAAAATACATATTACGGTATACATTTATAAGAAAATTGGCAATTATAGCTCTTCGACTATGTTAAAATTAAGTGCTCAAGCGAAGTCGATAACACTGAGTATAGTATTTGTATATAAATATGTTTGTATCGTTTAAAAGCCTGCAATTGAAATGCGTACAAATTTTTTCGACGTTGCCAATTTTCTAACCACCAATATTATTTGGGATGAAAACCTCAATAGAACTGTTAATCAAAACAAAATTTTTAGTGTGATATAATATTTATATCGTAACTAACAGAAAACAAGGCAAGACAAAAGCTTAAGTATAATTACAAATAGATGTTCAATTAGAACAGTCCCAGTTCGTGCGCACCATAGAGCATTTATATGTGAGGCATAGACAATAAACGATTGTCTATGACACTTTGACAAAGCTTTAATGAGTCTAGCGCCATCTATTTGTGAGTTGGATGAGTTATGTACTTACCAGCTGGGCTAAGATGCGCGTCGTGACATACTTTATCGACGCCAAAATGTATGGACAAAGTCGATAAAATGGCGTGATAAGCGCTTATCGCGGCGCGCATCCTAAGCCTACAGGTTCTATAATAAGGTTTTCATCTCCAAATCAATCAGCATCTTAGTTGATAGGTCCCGTAGCTAAATAGTGGTACGGGTGCCTATTATGCATGAACCTATTGTCGTACCTCTGGTTCTTTTGGTAGAACCCGTTGACTTTCCTGTAGTTTTGCGTCCGGCGCTGGTTGTTCTTTGAGTTTTCTTGAGACTTGTCCGTTTTGTTTGCTTTGTTTTCCGTTTTGGAATCGGACTTCTGAGGCTGGTCGTTGGAAGGCTTGTCCTGAAATATTAACGTGTTTATTTCAATAATCTTAGCGACAAACTTGCAACTATTATTACAACTCTATAATATGGCGGGGTTTTTAACATGATGAGCTATCGTCATTACATCGGGCATCTTGGGTAAATTTGAACAGTAACTTTGTTCTGTCATTCAGGTAAATTAGAATGTCTGAAATTCGGGTAGTTTTCAAAATTTTATGTACTATAATAACTGTACCTCCAGCATTACAGAATGGGACTATTCCCATCTATGCAACTCATGTATAACTAGGATCTGCAGATTGACGGCCAATAAAAACCCAACTAGACTGTCCCCGGGAAAAGATAAACTCTCATCGCTAACCAGTGCTATCTGTCATCGGTTCATCGAGCATATTACACTATGTAGTAATTTACCTCTTTATTGTCAGAGGGCGGCGGTTTGGGGTTGTTCTGCGTGTCAGGCGGTTGCTTTGGCGTCGGCGGCGGAGCGGAGGCTTGGGGCGACGGCTCGTCCTGCAAACAATAATGTATGATATGTATCTGTCTGTGGTATAATTAATTCAACAACGAAAAGTATTATAAGGAATATCAGGTAAAACTACCTAGTACTTTAGTATGATACTTTTGACTAATTTAGTAGCACTTTGGTCATAGCCACCTTTAAGAGGGAGGAGGAGTTTTTATTGTGACATGATTTGACTCCTCAATCGGTGATTTAATTCCTTTGGTGGTAATGATGTTGTGATCGGGGACCAAGGTCTAGTTGTTAACCATCTCGGTTTTCTATGTATACTAGTCAGGGCAAAAAAACTCTGATACCGCGATGTACGAATCGTATCAGCGCCATCTATGTGTAACTTTAAAATTAAACTTAAAAAAACTTAAAAAAAAAAACAAGTTAATATGTTCAGAATAATATTATTTTATAACTGTACATCCTCTACTATAGTATGAATAAATTAATGGAAGAGCGTTTGCTCCCTGATACAGGCTCATTAGCTTAAAAGGGAGCTACGGTCACTAACATTGTAATGTACCCATTGTTATGAAATAAATTGTTTATTTTATTATTGTTTATTATCTATTAGTTGATGAGTACCACTAGTCTGTAGTGGCGCGTGATAGATGTCGCCATAGCAGTGACTCTTTGTTACTCTCTCTAAGCGCATACGCCGAGTTGCTTCACCGAGGCGCGAGGTAACACACTGCGGGACTCTAGCCTCTATTGCTGAGGCGCTAGAATCCACACTGACCTTGGGCGCTGGGCGACACACTCCGTGACTCTTATAGTCTAGTAAGGGAGCACGTAGAATTTTGTCCAATGACCCCAAGCTACCCATCCTTATCGCTCGCGCGTAAATATGTTGCTGTCGCGCTCGCACACTCACTGCGAGCGCCCGTCGCACAGTCGCGACAGCAATATAATTACGCGCGAGCGATAAGGATGGGTAGCTTGGGGTCATTGCACAAAATTCTACGTGCTCACGGACCAGACTAAAGCCTCTATTGCTGAGGCGCTAGGGTCCAGTCCACTGACCCTGGGCGCTAGGTGACACACTCTGTGACTCTATAGTCTGGTCCGTGAGCACGTAGAATTTTGTCCAATGACCCCAAGCTACCCATCCTTATCGCTCGCGCGTAATTAAATTATGTTGCTGTCGCGCTCGCACACTCACTGCGGGCGCCCGTCGCTCTATTGCTGAGGCGCTAGGGACTCTAGCCTCTATTACTAAGGCTGCAGGGCCCAGTTTTGTCACTTGAGTTGCTTCACCGCTTCTGCCAGTTGGAGGATCGCAGGCACGAGGCGACATGATCGGGGACTCTAGCCTTTATTACTGGGGGTGTAGGGTCCAGTTTTGATAAGCTACTGTCGCCACTGACCTTGCTGGGAACTTAAGACACTTGGGGATCTAGCTTCTGTTACTAGGGCTGTAGTCTAGCTTCGCTAAGCTAGCCAATTAGAGGCCCTAAGACACTTGGGGAGCTAGCTTCTGTTACTGGGGCTGTAGAGTCTAGCTTCGCTAAGCTACTCTCACAATTGACTTTGCTTCCGTCACTTGGAGGATCTTAGTAAGACACTTGGGGATAGGTTTTGCTAATATGGCTCTAAGAGTCTAGCTTCGCTAAGCTACTGTCACCACTGACCTTGCTGGGAGGATCGTAGTAACTTAAGACACTTGGGGATCTAGCTTCTGTTACTCGGGGTGTAGAGTCTAGCTTCGCTAGGCTACTCTCGTCACTGACCTTAGTTCCATTAGTTGGAGGATCTTAGTAACTTGGAACACACTCCGGGACTCTAGCCTCTATTGCTGAGGCGCTAGGGACTCCAGCCTCTATTGCTGAGGCGCTAGGGACTCCAGCCTCTATTGCTGAGGCGCTAGGGACTCCAGCCTCTATTGCTGAGGCGCTAGGGACTCCAGCCTCTATTGCCGAGGCTGCAGGGCCCAGTTTGGTCAAGCCACTGACCTGGGCGGGGTGCGGGCGGGCGGGCGCGGGCGCCAGCGCCACGGTGAGGGTGAGGTCGCACCACATGGCGCAGCGCGCGCGCCGAGCGCACACGCCGAGTTGCTTCACAGCTTCTGCTAGTTGGAGGATCGCAGGGACGAGGCGACATGATCGGGGACTCTAGCCTTTGTTACTGGGGGTGTAGGGTCCAGTTTTGATAAGCTAAAGTTGCCACTGACCTTGCTGGGAGGATCGTAGTAATTTAAGACACTTGGGAATCTGGCTTTTGTTACTGGGGGTGTAGAGTCTAGCTTCGCTAAGTTACTCTCACCACTGAGCTTGTTGGAGGATCGTAGTCGCTTAGTAACACACTTGGGGAAAAGCCTCTATTAGTGAGGCTCTAGGTCTAGCTTCGCTAAGCTACTCTCGTCACTGACCTTGCTTCCGTCAGTTGGAGGATCTTAGTAAGACACTTGGGGATAGCCTTTGCTAATATGGCCCTAAGAGTCTAGCTTCGCTAAGCTACTGTCGCCACTGACCTTGCTGGGAGGATCGTAGTAACTTAAGACACTTGAGAATCTATAGTCTTTGTGAATATGGGTTGAGTCTAGCTTCGCTAAGCTACTATCACCATTGACTGCTTCCGTCACTTGGAGGATGCTAGAACACACTCCGGGACTCTAGCCTCTATTGCTGAGGCTGTAGGGTCCAGTTTCGTCAAGCTACTGGCGCCACTGATCTTGTTGGAGGATCATAGCAACTTAGTTACACGCTTAGGGACTCTAGCCTCTATTGCCGAGGCTGCAGGGCCCAGTTTGGTCAAGCCACTGACCTGGGCGGGGTGCGGGCGGGCGGGCGCGGGCGCCAGCGCCACGGTGAGGGTGAGGTCGCACCACATGGCGCAGCGCGCGCGCCGAGCGCACACGCCGAGTTGCTTCACAGCTTCTGCCAGTTGGAGGATCGCAGGCACGAGGCGACATGATCGGGGACTCTAGCCTTTGTTACTGGGGGTGTAGGGTTTAGTTTTGATAAGCTACTCTCACCACTGAGCTTGTTGGAGGATCGTAGTAACTTGAGACACTTGGGAATCTAGCGTTTGTTACTAGGGCTGTAGTCTAGCTTCGCTAAGCTACTTCCGCCACGCAGCTTGCTTCCGTCAGTTGGAGGATCTTAGTAAGACACTTGGGGATAGCCTTTGCTAATATGGCTCTAAGAGTCTAGCTTCGCTAAGATACTGTCGCCACTGACCTTGATTTCGTCCGTTTGGGGATCAGAGTAACTTAAGACACTTGGGGATTTAGCTTTTGTTACTAGGGCTGTAGAGTCTAGCTTCGCTAAGCTACTCTCACCACTCACCTTGCTTCCATCAGTTGGAGAATCATAGTAACTTAGAACACACTTAGCTACTCTAGCCTCTATTGCTGAGGCGCTAGGGTCCAATCTCACTAAGCGACTGCCGCCACTGACCTTGATTTCGTCCGTTTGAGGATCAGAGTAACTTAAGACACTTGGGGATCTAGCTTTTGTTACTAGGGCTGTAGAGTCTAGCTTCGCTAAGCTACTCTTGTCACTGACCTTGCTTCCGTCAGTTGGAGATTCTTAGTAAGACACTTGGGGATAGTCTTTGCTAATATGGCCCTAAGAGTCTAGCTTCGCTAAGCTACTGTCGCCACTGACCTTGCTGGGAGGATTGTAGTAACCTAAGACACTTGGGGATCTAGCCTCTATTACTGAGGCTCTAGGTCTAGCTTCGCTAAGCTACTTTCGCTAGTCGGAGGATCTTAGAACACACTCCGGGACTATAGCCTCTATTGCTGAGGCGCTAGGGTCCAGTCCCACTGACCTTGGACGCTAGGTGACACACTCCGGGACTCTATAGTCTGGTCCGAGAGCACGTAGAATTTTGTCCAATGACCCCAAGCTACCCATTCTTATCGCTCGCGCGTAATTATGTTGCTGTCGCGCTCGCACACTCACTGCGGGCGCCCGTCGCTCTATTGCTGAGGCGCTAGGGACTCTAGCCTCTATTGCCGAGGCGCTAGGGACTCTAGCCTCTATTGCCGAGGCTGCAGGGCCCAGTTTGGTCAAGCCACTGACCTGGGCGGGGTGCGGGCGGGCGGGCGCGGGCGCCAGCGCCACGGTGAGGGTGAGGTCGCACCACATGGCGCAGCGCGCGCGCCGAGCGCACACGCCGAGTTGCTTCACAGCTTCTGCTAGTTGGAGGATCGCAGGGACGAGGCGACATGATCGGGGACTCTAGCCTTTGTTACTGGGGGTGTAGGGTCTAGTTTTGATAAGCTACTGTCGCCACTGACCCTGACTTAAGACACTTGGAGATAGCTTTTGCTAATATGGCTCTAAGAGTCTAGCTTCGCTAAGTTACTCTCACCACTGAGCTTGTTGGAGGGATCGTAGTAACTTAAGACACTTGGGGATCTAGCTTTTGTTACTAGGGCTGTAGAGTCTAGCTTCGCTAAGCTACTGTCGCCACTGACCTTGCTGGGAGGATCGCAGGCACGAGGCGACATGATCGGGGACTCTAGCCTTTATTACTAGAGGTGTAGGGTCTAGTTTTGATAAGCTACCGTCGCCACTGAACTTGCTACCGTCAGTTGGAGGATCTTAGTAAGACACTTGAGGATAGCCTTTGCTAAAATGGCTCTAAATGGCACTGACCTTGCTGGGAGGATTGTAGTAAATTAAGACACTTGGGGAGCTAGCTTCTGTTACTAGGGCTGTAGAGTCTAGCTTCGCTAAGCTACTCTCAGCATTGACTGCTTCCGTCACTTGGAGGATGCTAGAACACACTCAGAGACTCTAGCCTCTATTGCTGAGGCTCTAGGGACTCCAGCCTCTATTGCCGAGGCTGCAGGGCCCAGTTTGGTCAAGCCACTGACCTGGGCGGGGTGCGGGCGGGCGGGCGCGGGCGCCAGCGCCACGGTGAGGGTGAGGTCGCACCACATGGCGCAGCGCGCGCGCCGAGCGCACACGCCGAGTTGCTTCACAGCTTCTGCTAGTTGGAGGATCGCAGGGACGAGGCGACATGATCGGGGACTCTAGCCTTT